TTACTTAAATTTCATTATTAAGAGAAAGATTCGCGCGCGCGGTTCACGGGGAAGGCTATAAATAGGAACTAATATTTGACTCTCTTCCCAACAACGCGTATAGCATATTTTTGATGTTTTTTTTTTCTTATTCGTTTCTTACACTTTCCTTCTCTCTTATTGACGCTTTTGTTTTCAAGCCTGTAAATTTATATCCATCTCATCTACCTTTCATACTCATCTGTTTTAATAGGCAAATATGAAGAAAGAAAGGAATGAGCTTTCATTCAATTACGCGCGCATTGTGTTCATTCTTGTGGTTCTCTAATTTTTCATTCCCGGGATCTAGTTTCGAGCTGTCTTCTAGGTTGACCATGAGGGTATTTTTAGGTCCGCATAGCTAAAGTTGACATTTATAGTAATTTTAAGATATTTATTGTCAATTGATTTCCCACAGAGTAGAATTGCCTTCTTCAGACAAGGTCAAGTAGATAGACTTTCGATCTATCATTTAAAGTACTTATTCAAGTTCTTATCAAGTGAACATCACAAGGAAAAACGATAAATCCTAGGAAATGGAAATACTTATCTCAACTCCACCGAAACTAGCATTTGCCACATAGTTAACTAATGTTATCAATACGATCTCAAGTAACCAAAAGGTTACTGATACATATGTATTATCCATGTATTATCCATCGGAAGATGATGTCCTATGAAATTGGAAGATAAATGGACAAAGCAATAAGGGGCCGTTCACTTATTACGTTACGCAAAAAAACGACTTTTTTCACCACACCTCCCCCCCCCCCTTTTTACAATATGTTACAACTCACAACCCCCCCCCCCCCCCCCTGAACGTTCATAATTTATTTTGTTGTGATAATTTTTTATTCTAAAAAGACGGTTAAATTTCTTTTGTATTTTTTTCTAAAACATCAAAATACTGTCCAGCTAAATAGGTCATGTTTTGATTGATACTATTAGTATTCTCATGAATTATTGGATTAATCATCATATGAATGACAGATTTAGAGAGATTTACTTTTATACTTATGATTGATTTAATTTTGAAAATTTCCACAAATTATGATTGTATTTTAAAGTCTTGTAAACCAGTTTTCTATTGATTTGTTACTTTATATAACAAAAACTATGTATTGCTTAGCTATCAAAAGTGATCTGGACATTCATAAATCATTAAAAAGGTGGAAAATTTAAAAAAATGTTTTGGTGTTAATTTGTAAACAAATTTTTGTTTTCCCCTTAAATGCGAACGTAATAAGTGAACGGCCCCTAAGACATCAAAGGAATACAAATGGAAAACAAATGGATTATTTTTTTTGGATAAAACACGTGCTGAATTCCACGTGTTCTTTTGTATTTTTCTTTTATTTGTGTAAATTATTGTAAAAGTATTAGTGTGTACTTAATTAAAGTACACTAACACAACGAAAAAGAACAAAAAGGACTGAATTTAATTAAGTCGCATACTGATAAACGCCCAAGACTAGCACACAACCCTGAAGAAGATATATAATTAATTGAAAGACCCATTCAAATTAAGAGAGAACTTATAATAGTGATTTCTGCGAGCACTTGTGAAGTATATGGCAAATGCCAAATTTAGAACAAATATTATTTTCCTGCAAAAAAATATCTTTTTGATGATTTTTCATAGGATATGAACATAAGCGGGCTCGGCTAATACTTCAATGAAACACTTTTGTTGCATGTTTGTAAAATAAATATTTCACATATAATAAATAATGATACATTTGATCTTTCATCGACGTCCAAGGAAGATTATATGGAACATTTTGGTTACTTGGGATGACGACAAAAAGAATTTCCGGAAACTATTTGCAATGCCATAATACTCTAATGCATATCGACGAAAATAATTCGCGTGCTCGATATTAATTTATAGATAGCAATGAGCCCTATAACAAGTGAATGCATGTATATATGTTGAGCAATGAATATTGTGCATCGGTAAATTATTTATAAATATGTGTATCTATCAGAAGAGCTATTAATATGGACCGTCATAAATTTTTTATGACCTTCATAAATGCGTCTACTGTGCTATTTTTAAAAATAAAAAATTTAATAAAATTGATTAATAATTCTTTTGATATAGCTTTGATTCCATTAGTATGGCAAAAATGGCTTTTTTTTTTTCAACTCCTGCACACTTTTTTCCGTCATCGATTTAGTTTGACGATTAATTATTAAAAGTAATGCGAAAATAACAAAACAAAAAGCTAAATAAAGTCACGAAGCACAATATTCTAATAATACTAAATATAATATGCATGCGAAGAACTGTGACTATATCAACACCTCTATAAATGAGGATAGTTTTCTTTGATTATGTATCGTAGTAAGGTAAACATTGATTTTTTTTTAGAAGTATCTGATTGTTTACAAGAAACTAGGATGTTGCAGGCGAAGCAATTTTTGTTTTTAACGGTTTTTATATTTTTAAAGTTTAACGGCTTTCAAAAATTTAAAACTTTTGGTATTAAAATAATTTTCAAAATCGGTTACTATTTGAACATTCAAAAACCGTTGAAAACTTAAAAAATCCAATAAAATTGTCACTCAATATCCAATCGTCCCCGAAAACGTGTAGACAGCGACATACAATTTCATCTTAAAAACAAATTATTTTTGATCTTCTGATTGCGATACTCAATAAAAATAGTTTTTTTTTTTCAATTTTATAGCTCACAATTCAATCGATATTCAGATTTTAATTTGCCAAGTGATTTTTTTTTTCTTCTACCTTTTAGTTTATTTTGTTTCCTATTAATATTATTGAACGGTCGCACATTAGAGAAATAAGGCACGAAAATTTCTTTTTATTTTATCCTTATTATGTCATTTGCATTTGACTTTTACGTAACTTATCACCAGCTAATAATCAATTTTAGTATTTCGGTGAAATCGCACGTAACGCTTAAAGCTTTAGTTTCTGTCCCAGTTCTAGTTAGCATATATTTCAAGCTGCTCTAATTTCATTGTTTTTTTCGTGAATTATTTTAGCATTATTTATCGTAAGAAATCAAACTCATTGTCTAGTTTGGGAAAATTTTATTCAGTTCATTTTTTGAACTATAGTGTTCTGAAGAGTGTCAGATTTAGGAACACATGTTTAAGATAGACAAATGCTGCTTGAGTCACGTGATTATAACTGTTTTTCAAAATTTAACGGTTTTCAAAAATTTCAAAAAGATGTCAAATTTCCAAAAAGTTTGAATTTTTGAAAACCGTTTAAAAAGTTAATGTCAGTTTAGAATGGGTTTGGTGTGCTTACTTGCCCTAATATCTGCTCTTTATACATTAAGCATTCTGTGTAGCTTTAATCATGAGACAAACCCTTGAAATTTTTCAAATACTTTCTACATCTCTCAAATCATCAAAAACGTCATTCAAATCTCTAATCTAAGATCATCTGACTGACTAATTTCCTGCGAATTCTCAATATTCTTTAGAATTATGATGATTCATTTGACTTTAATTCAATAAACAAAAAGTCATCATTTTTATGTTAATTAGCGTATTGATTAATCGACAAAATATATATGCACAACAGCCTGTCAGAAAAAGTCTTGTGAATACACATTAAGCATAACAAAAAGAAAAATTTCATTGATAAAAAAACGACTTAAACATTTGCTAATGCGTTAACAATATTTGATTGCCTCTATACTTAATAATTCTAACTTGCTTACTCACTCTGTCACAAGAAATAAAACTACGAAAAAAATGTCAGTTTATGCTCTAGATTTTCATTGGCTATGATGTCATGTTTGATTACGAATTGTTCGCAAGATTTTTTTGGTCAATGTTAAAATAATTTTCAGACTCAAGGAAAGGAAGAAGAGGAATGTAAATAAAAAGTCATGAATTTCATGTTTTATTTGGTCAGGGGCCGTTCACTTATTACGTTCGCATTTTAGGAGGGAGGGGGGGTTTGAAAAATTGGAACAAAATGTAACATAGGTGGGGGGAAGGGGGGGGGGGGGGGTCAAGAATTATGTAATGTTCTAACTGTCGTCTGCCTTTTAAAAAAAATTCACGAAAAAAATTTGTTTACAAATTCACACCAAAAACATTTTTTTACACCTTTTTAATGATAAAATAAATTATGAACGTTCAGGGGGGGGGGGGTGTGAGTTGTAACATATTGTAACAAGGGGGGGGGGGGGTGAATAAAGTTGTTTTTTTGCGTAACGTAATAAATGAACGGCCCCTCACTTAGATAATTGATAAAAATATGAAAGGAATTGTCGAGGTGAAACTTATTAGAATTGTCGCCTTTTTCCTCACGTTTGACGTCAATAGAGCTCTCGCAGTTATTTTATATTTATTAAAAATAAAACAAGAACGAAAAAAGCACACCTCGCATGTTTATTTGGTAATAATTCAATTAAAGATTTAGCCTCATAGACGAAACAATTTTTAAGTGCTCGTCGATTTTTAACAGGTTTTTAAAAATTTGAAAAATTATTATTGAACTTGGGTCTTGCAACTTGTTGTCAAAAAGAATTTGAATTTTTTTCAAACCGTTATTTCAAAAATATTCAATAAAAGCAGAAATAAGTCAATAATTTAACTAATTTTAGAAAACCGCATGATATATTTTAATAATAAGTGCTACATTTAATGAAAGAACAAACTGTTCAGTGAAGGATCATGAAATATTGTCAAGATTAACTCAAAATACAGCAAAAATTTGAAAATTGTGAGAATTTTAGTAAAATTTGCTTAAACTAATGCATTTTGAGCACTCAATAGCTATACGTCAAAGCAACTATACATTTCCTTTATTTACTTCTTCTTTCGCTTTCTTTTCAAGTTCAAGTCTATAAATTAATAAGAATTCTACATTTATATTCTAATATTAATAAATATCTTGCAGACATAAACACACAAAGAGCTATTGTAAATAGTCATTCATCAATAGACGAGTAGCTACTCACTCGATATTTATATATTAACAATAAGCGTCTCAACAAGTGGATTATGATGCAGCGTCCAATGATGATACAACAGGTACTTACAATTCTATTGTTTTTCACATACAAGCATTCTGATATATACAATCAGGTCATTGTAACAAGTTCATTTATGTCTTCTTTACTTTCATTTATATTATTAATTACTAGGAGCGTCAGCATTACAATCACAATAAAGCTAATACAATAACAAATACTGTAGCTGGATTATATGATCTCGAGGAAACGTTGGGATCAGGACATTTTGCTGTAGTCAAATTAGCACGACATGTTTTTACAGGAGAAAAAGTTGCAGTTAAAGTAATTGATAAAACTAAACTAGATGACATATCAAAGGCACATCTGTTTCAAGAAGTTCGGTATGTATTCAGCAGTTCCTATTGACAATTTCACTATATTAATGCTTCTGTCATTTATCATTTATAGATGTATGAAGCTTGTTCAGCATCCACATGTTGTGAGACTTTACGAAGTAATTGATACTCAAACTAAATTATATCTTATACTGGAACTTGGTGATGGTGGAGATTTATATGACTATATTATGAGACATGATGCTGGCTTGTCTGAAACCTTAGCTAGAGAATATTTCCGTCAAATTGTTCGTGCCATTTCATATTGTCATCAGGTAACTTACAAACTTGCGAAGTAATCCTCACCTTAATTAATTAAATTAACTTACTTAACTTCTATAGCTTCATGTAGTCCACCGCGATTTAAAACCCGAGAATTGTGTGTTCTTTGAGAAATTAGGTGTTGTCAAGCTTACTGATTTTGGATTTTCTAATAAATTTTGTCCTGGACAAAAGCTCGAGACGGTAAGCCTTAATTAATCTAATTTAAACAACACATCTAATGTTTCCTTTATAGAGCTGCGGAAGTCTGGCATATTCTGCGCCAGAAATCTTATTAGGTGACAGTTATGACGCTCCAGCTGTTGATGTGTGGTCGTTAGGTGTTATTTTATATATGCTTGTTTGTGGTCAACCTCCATTTCAAGAAGCTAATGATTCTGAGACTCTTACTATGATTATGGATTGCAAATATACTATGCCTCCTCATATTTCATCGGAATGTCGTAGACTTATTGCATCAATGTTAGTACGTGAGCCAGAAAAGAGAGCATCAATTGAAGTGAGTTGTTTTTTTTTCGTTTTTCCTTTGTTGACTTTTGGAACTGCGTCATTAATGGATTTTGTTCTGGAACTTTTCTTGGAAATTCACGTGAAAATAGTTGGTCAATAAATTTCAATTAATTCAAAAAATCTTCCAATTCCCCATAATACTTCGACATTTGTACGGTTTTCAAACACAAATGACCTTAAAAATGGCAAATTCCTCAAAGCTTACACAATTAGGAATGAAGTCATTAATTAAATACTCTATTCTATATTGCAGCAAATAGCAAATGATTCATGGTTGTCGCAAGGTGAACAAAGTCAACCCGAATATCTACCTTTAGTGAGTAAAGAGCAAGTTAGTGACGAGGATCATTCATTCATTGTACAAAAAATGGTCAATGGAAACATTGCTCAAAAGGATGAAATTTTAGAGTAAGTTGAGATGACATGGCTAATGCAATAGAATCGATAAATTGACAAATTCATTTCTTGTGTCTCTGTAGGGCTTTAGATCGTAATGAATATAATCATATAACCGCAACATATTTCCTTCTTGCCGAACGAAAATTGCGTGCTCATCGCCCAGATCAGCAAATTAAAAAGAAACCTGATCTCACACTTCCATTATCGCCAGCAAAGTAAGTTCTTTTGTTTACTGTTGTTTCATTATTCCTGTTGATTTTGTTTTGCACATTTTTTCGCTTCATTAACCCACAAAATAAGAAGTTACTGTATACATAGTAAAGACACTAAAGAATGCATGCACCCCGTAATTAATTGATGTGTGTCCAAATTATTATCCCACACTGACAAATTACTTCACTTTCCTGTTTTATTTTTCTGTTGTGTATTATGAATTATCCGTTTCCTGTTATATTTTTTAAGCCAGAACCTTATTTCAAATGAGAGAATTTTTTGAGTTTCATTTATTTTTTCATGGATTTTTCCAGGAAAGTGCCTCTAACATCTGCAACACGATTATTGAATGATAAAATAAATCGCACCTTAACACTTTCTTAATTATTTCTTGAGTTACACACGATTTTTAAAGATATACATATTTATACATACTATGAAGTTTACTACTTAATTTGCGAGTACAATATTGTTTTCTTTGTAGATAAATTTACTGTTAATGGAGATACATTTTTTAATTTCTAACATAGAACTTAAGTTAATACGTAGTATACGCACTTAAATTAATAGATTTATTGGGAATATTGGTTGAAGTTGTTCAGTAATTGGCTTGCTAAAGCGTATAAATTAGACCAAAAGTCCGTTAAAAATATTTTCAAATTTTTCTGCGGGGTGGAAACTATGAAGTATATTCAAATTTAAAAGAACCGCTAGAATCTTCATTTTATATTAAGGATAATTTTAGCTATTTCTTTTGGCTATACATTACTTTTAGATGTGTAGACACTGATTTTCATACTTCCAATATCATAAAGGTGCTAAAACAGGCATTAATGTAGAGAATTTGCACTTGAAATTCAAAAACTGTTGTACGGTTTTGGCTGATTCAAAATTCAATAGTGTTGAAAATTCAAATCTCAAAAAGTTGTTAAAAATGCAGCAGAATTTTGAATCTTTAATTTCATAATTAATACCTACAATCTTCAATCATGCTTAACACAGCATCATCCTAGTTCCAATAGAATCTTCACTCAAAATTAATCTCAGTCCATTATACGCTTATCAATTAATCACATCTGAAGTCAACATTCAACCTTTATGACTAATTATTAAGACTAGATAAAATTAATATCGATAGAATTTCATGAAATATATATTATTTTGTTACTAGAGTGCTTATGAATGGCACATTTGTATACACATCACATATTTGCATCAATTAATAATTGTTAAATTTGGAAAAAATATCAAGTCCAAAGAAATGGAACAAATCATTTTTGTATAAAAGCATTAACATGTTCGGCTATAAAGACGAATTTAGATAAGAGCTCAGAAAATTTTGCATGAACACAGCTGAAAAAATAATCTTAGTTTGTTACGAAAGTGTCTATGTTAAATAGCAATAATTAATTAATTAATTAATATTATAAAAAAAAAACATATCCAAGTCATGATGCGACAAAATGTCTTAATTATTGCCTCCCATTCAATTTGAATTCAATAGAAATGAATGCTCAAAATTAATGAGTCAAGATGATGATGAAGATGAGCAAGATAATAATTTACTAGTCGTACCAGGCATTATAAATGCACCACGAACTCCTGGAGATATGAGTCAGGTATAGTCACAAATTTATTCAAAAATTGATTGATTTTCATTTTAAATTCTTTATTTGCATGTCAAAAAATAAACAATAAAATCGAGTATAGAAAGGCAGAAATCGAAAATGTTCAATCGTGCAAGAGGAAGACGACGACATTGGAGATGAAGAGCCATCGTCGCCATTAAATCGAAGAGGTTCAAGATCAGAAGGACGTTTAAACATTACTGTGCAAGATCGCTTAGCTGCTGAAGTTGCAGAAAGGATTAAAAAAGAACAGCACTCGAAAATTCATGCAAAATCACAAGAGCCGGATCTCAAAGTTGCATCAGCTAATACGAGGAGCTTAATAGATGGCATTGCTGGTGTTAAAATAATTAAGAATGATGATAAGGAAAAGTTTTTAGGACAAGCAGGTTCTGGATTGAGAAAGGATGTTCGTTCGGGTTCTGTGGATAAGAATCAAGTCAGACCAATTCGTGGTCCAATGGATATAAAGATACTCACAGATTCCTCGACCATTCCGGCTATAAATGTTACACCGATGATTATGAATCAAATATCAAAACCATTTAAGACAATGCCGTCACCAACACGATCGGCATTATTACAACAGACTACAAATTTAAGTAATAATAGCTGTTTAAAGGAAATTCTTGAATGTGATACCGGTTCATCTGATACAAGTAATACAAATACTCCACGTCCAATTTTAAGATCTCAAGCTGTTTCTGCTGCTACAACATCAACACATCATCGACGGACAAAATTTCATAAATCTCGCACAACATCATGCAGCTCCTCAGACGCATCTGATGATGATAATAATAGCGAAAAGAAACGAGCTGGAACTAAAATTATAGAATGTGGAATTACGAAGCAAATAATTACGCAGAGACGTGACAGTGACTCGAGTGATTCACAAGATCCGGGTAGTAATACATGCTCGGGTAATAATAATGCTGGTAGTTCCTTGATTCTTCGTAATGGATCAACTACAACATCATCGAATAATAAATCACCAACACAGTCAGGTACAAGTCATGAAAGTCGTGGGAAAAGTACTTCAAATTCATCCGAAATCGGATATCGTCGACATAGAACTGGCCGAAGGAGGCAAACGGAAACGAGATTACGTGAGAGCCAATCATTAAATAGAATTACGGAAGTTCAAGAATGTGAACATAATAATTTTAATAATAATAATAATAATAATAATTCGATAATGAATAACAACAGTACTGAGAAGATTGATAAGAGCAAGATTGAGGATACACAGGAGAAGACTAATGAACCAATAAAACATCCTAGTAATAATGATATTCTTATGACGTCATCAAATTCGATGAAAATATCAACATTAAATAATTTAAACTCAAAAGTAACATCTCCGTCGTCGAACGATACAATACAGAATGTAACAAATGAGTTAAAGGCAAACAAGAATCAAAATAATACGAAAGCCAAAGGATTTAGTGCTAGATTTTTGCAGAATTTAAATTTCAAGCGGAATCACGACTCGACACAAACGAATTCATCAAAAAGTAGTAATAAATCGAACCGCAATTCAATGCCTGATGTGCCATTAACGAAACTCACTAGTGGAAAAGTTGGAAGTCATGTGCGGTCGTCTTCACAGGTGCCAAGCGATGGAAGCGATCGATCGAAGAAAATTAAGATTTTGGGAAGATATTTTCAGGTAAATAACTGTCATTTTAAATTTGAATTTTAACGGCTGTTCTTAATTTGAAATTTTGAACTTCAAGATATTTAAATTTATTTGAATTCCAAAAAGTTGCTAAAAATGCAATCACAAAAACAATAGAAATGAAAACTGGCAATGCCAACTGCTGAAAAAAAAAAAGCTGAAATAAATTAGCATTCATTAAAGTTAATTTGTTTATTTCGTAGGTGCACAAGAAAATCTGTCAGCCATTGTCTGGTCTATTTCGAACGTCCGGAAGTGCTCGTCTATCCTCATCAAACTTATACAAAGCTCAGTCATGTTCTTCAATCCTTCGCGATGGAATCCATCATTCAATCAACAACACTACATTATCAACATCGTCCTCATCAGTCACAAAGCACTCGACAAAGTTTGACGAGAAATTACTAAGTGAGCGTGAATATTTGATTAAGAATTGTCTGGGATCATCACGATTTATCGGAAGTGATGGCGATATTAATGAAAAGTCTCTCGACAAACAACAGCAGCTCTTAGAATACATTGACGATGATTTACTCTCGGGAAGTAAATGCTAAATCTGGTATAATTAAAGGTTTACATTAATATAGTACAATTTAGTTAAATGGATGGCTCCATAATAATATAGTGAACATTATTATTCATTATGATGACACTAGGGGCGCCTTTCCATCAAATCTATTGGATACGCCCCTGGATGACGGTTAAAAAAATGAATCAAAGTATTAAAGTGTTTGTTTTTCCTGATTGATATGAGAAAATATCTTGTTGCTGTTTGAAAACTCTATAATGCATACATATATCTCATTCCAATATGATAATGATTGAAAAAATCTAACTAGAACCGAAAACTAATATTAATTGTAATAGTAATTGACTTTATTTGCAGCAACTATTTCTCTTGAATTTCCACAAAACAGTAAGCTAGCGTAAACAAGACTTTGTCCGATAAAAGTGCATTTTTCCAGGCATAGATCGTTTGACAGTCGAAAAATATTTGAAAATTAACGGAAAAAAAATGTTTGAATCATGTCAACTTTTTTGATTCAAATTTTTTTGTAACGTTATTTTTTCAAAAAAGCATGAATGCTAATTTGTTGGATTTAATCCAGCAAAGGGAACGTTTATGATCGCCAGAAAAATGCACTCAAATAATATGTAATAATTTCCATAGCTAAAAATACATAAAACTTAATTCATTCGATCAAGAAGAAGCAGAATCGTTAAATACACAAACAAACAATATAAAAAATGCATATAATTCATAAAGAAAGTGCACATTAGATGCGACATACTTGTGCAAACTCCAAAGTAATCAAAAAATATTAAAAGATAATGTGAAAATGAATAAATGCGATTACAGGGTGATTTTTTCTTAGATACATTAATATTAATAATACACACGTTCTTAAGCTTTTTTCATGATTTGTAAAACAAATGAGGGGATATTGGGGAAATGAACGTGTACGAATATGTTTCTTATCAATACAAAAATTTATATCTGGAACAAAAAGTAATAAATGCAAGTACAACTTTTAATTTATAAAAGCTTGCTTTTTGTTGATAACACAGCGATTGTAATTGTCGGAAAAGATTGTTTGCTGAGAAGTTCAGGAATTTTGTTCCTTAAAGATTGCTTTCTTAGAAATAATGAGGTGGAATTGAGGTTTATTGATGTGATTTTAATACATTTACACTTTGTTTTGTTGATTTTTGGGGTTTTATGGGTTCTTTTAGTGTAGTTGTTTTGTTAATTGTTCATTATTGTAAGGCTTTAAGCTTGATTGAGAATACGCTTTAACGTTAAAAGCCACTAAATTTTAAATTTCAATTCGAACACTACAACAGCTGTTTGTATGTGGTTCAAAACCATGCAAATGTTTCAGTTTCTTATAGAATTTGTATGGTTCTGATCAAATCTTAAAAATTCTTTAATTTAAAACCATACAAATGTTTTCAAACCTCAAAAGTCCGTTAAATCTTCTGAATTATTCAGCAAGCAATCGCTAATTCAACTCCAATCCTTAGCTAAGAGTAGTTTCACTGATGTTAAAAATGTGTATTGCACACCATTCTTAAAAAAAAACGTTGATATAAACAAATCTTCTTAAGTAAATAGAATTCATGTTTAATTCCAATACAGAAAGTAAGGAAGTGTCCTAAAATCTCAGTGAAATTCTTGTTTTTTCTAAATACTCTCTAAATTGTTGAGATGTGTACTGCAAAACATAAACTTAAAATGATGTCAAGATAATGAGAAACTAATTATTAATGCAAATTGATGTTTAAAAAAAATGAAAGAAAAATTTTTTCTTCTTGCAATAATTGATTTTTTAACAATATATTGTTTCTACTTATTGAGTAAGAAGAGAATAAATGAACTCAAAGTCAGCAATTCTATTAATTTTAGTTATTTTAAGTTGAAAACTTTGTAATCTTTAAGTTTGTCTAATTGAAAATGCAAAAATGAAAAACTTTTAGGAATAATTTATTAACTTTTTATCACGAATCAAAAATGAGCAAGCTGGTCTTGCGATTGGAATAAAATTAAAGTTGAGCCAAAAACAGAGGAAGAAAGTAAAAAAATTGAGTTGAATGAAATCTGCCACTGATATGCTTAGTTTAAGAGAACTATCTGGAATGAAATTGATGTAAAATGGATCCAGAATAAAGCACTTAATGCAAAAATAGCTGCACTTGTTTTATTTCATATTATTGGTGTCTTTTCAGGATCTTTGTCGCATGGCTGTATTTAGAAAGAAGTCTTAAGTTATTCAAGAGCAGGTCTAGAGACTGAACTGCTGTTATTGACTTTAATCCATTGATATACTTTACTACCTTCTTAATAATGACGATTTCTGAAGCTTAATAACAAATCAAGAAAAAAGTAGTTCACAGAAGCAGGTATTACATGTAGAATTTCCAACTGGAAGTCAAATTTAAGTAAAAAGTGGGCGTGAAGTACGGCTGAGACCCATATCAACACAGTTCAAAAGTTATACCTAATTTAAGTCATAATTATGTCAGTTACAAAAACACTTAGTTTGAATTTTGTCACCCTCGGGAACACTATGAACCAGTATAGCTGATTTTGGTCCAAATCTCGGCCATACTTCAAACTTATTTGAACCACATTTTTTTGAGCAAAGAACCAAGTAGGAAATACATTTTCAATTTTGGACTAGGGGCGACCCTAGTTAAAATCAATTTTGTCACTTTTTTCTTCGAGGGTTTATCCAAATGGATTGAAACTTTGCATAAATATTCTAATGCTTAAAACAAATACAAATAAAACATTTTAAAATTTTTTTGAGCAAAGAACCAAGTAGGAAATACATTTTCAATTTTGGACTAGGGGCGACCCTAGTCAAAATCAATTTTGTCACTATTTCTTCGAGGGTTTATCCAAATGGATTGAAACTTTGCATAAATATTTTAATGCTTAGAACAAATACAAATAAAACATCCTAAAATTTTTTTGAGCAAAGAACCAAGTAGGAAATACATTTTCAATTTTGGACTAGGGGCGACTCTAGTTAAAATCAATTTTGTCACTTTTTTCTTCGAGGGTTTATCCAAATGGATTGAAACTTTGCATAAATATTTTAATGCTTAGAACAAATACAAATAAAACATCCTAAAATTTTTTTGAGCAAAGAACCAAGTAGGAAATACATTTTCAATTTTGGACTAGGGGCGACCCTAGTCAAAATCAATTTTGTCACTTTTTTCTTCGAGGGTTTATTCAAATGGATTGAAACTTTGCGTAAATATTCTAGTGCTTAAAACAAATACAAATAAAACATTCTAAAATTTTTTTGAGCAAAGAACCAAGTAGGAAATACATTTTCAATTTTGGACTAGGGGCGACTCTAGTTAAAATCAATTTTGTCACTTTTTTCTTCGAGGGTTTATCCAAATGGATTGAAACTTTGCATAAATATTCTAGTGCTTAAAACAAATACAAATAAAACATCCTAAAATTGTTTTGAGCAAAGAACCAAGTAGGAAATACATTTTCAATTTTGGACTAGGGGCGACCCTAGTGAAAATCAATTTTGTCACTTTTTTCTTCGAGGGTTTATCCAAATGGATTGAAACTTTGCATAAATATTCTAGTGCTTAAAACAAATACAAATAAAACATTTTAAAATTTTTTTGAGCAAGAACCAAGTAGGAAATACATTTTCAATTTTGGACTAGGGGCGACCCTAGTCAAAATCAATTTTGTCACTTTTTTCTTCGAGGGTTTATCCAAATGGATTGAAACTTTGCATAAATATTCTAGTGCTTAAAACAAATACAAATAAAACATTTTAAAATTTTTTTGAGCAAGAACCAAGTAGGAAATACATTTTCAATTTTGGACTAGGGGCGACCCTAGTCAAAATCAATTTTGTCACTTTTTTCTTCGAGGGTTTATCCAAATGGATTGAAACTTTGCATAAATATTTTAATGCTTACAACAAATACAAATAAAACATCCTAAATTTTTTTGAGCAAAGAACCAAGTAGGAAATACATTTTCAAAATTTCGACTTCCCCATCTGAATTTTGTTCATACTCTTCACTGTGGAAACCAAAAAACAAATTCTTTATCTTAAAACACTTGACAAAATAGCGACATAATTAAGGATTAATTACTTTTTAATAATATTTTAACATTTACGAGAAAATGTAGTTCAAACAAGTGTGAAGTATGGAATTCAAACTAAGTGTTTTTGTAACTGACATAATTATGACATAAATTAGGTATAACTTTTGAACTGTGTCGATATGGGTCTCGGCCGTACTTCACACCCACAAGTAAAAAGTAAGAAATCTTCTACTCGACACTACAACTCATTTACAGCACCTGAATACAGCCTGATTGGCAACATCGTATGTTTATTGGACGTCAAAAAGCTCTTTAAAGCATCTCCCATCCTCTAAAAGTGCACACAAATATTGTTTAAACAATTTCTGACACTCATTCCAGCTGCATAAACGTATGTTAAGCAAACAATGTCTGACATTGATGGGATAAACTGTCAGATCGACTCTATCTCTGCTTGAATGAATAAAACACACACAATAAGATTATTTTTTTCATACTTTTTTTTATTTTTTATTGAGTTTTGGATGCTTTTCTAGGATAATTTTTTTAATTTTTTTTATAGCATTTTAATAGTTTTTTTTAGGAATTTCGTCATTCTCTCATAAGCAATGAATCATTTAAAAACATTTTAAATATTTTTAAGCAAACTTTTTTGAAAAATCACTTGTGAGCAAAAATAAGTAATTTTTTTTAAATTTCTCTTTGAAGATTGGATTTTTAAATTTATGTGTAATATTTCAATATTTATTGCATTCAAGAAAGTCATTTTATGAGCGACTCATTAATATATCATTTTTTAAAATTTACTTTTCAACAGTTATGTTGTGACTATCATCAGTTATCTTGTTAATTAATAATAAGTTAAATACATAAGAATATAATATCTATTATTTGAAATTAATCTAGGAAATGAAGCAGTATAATAATAAATTATTCATAAAGTAGGAGGTGAATATATTAAATTAATTCATTTCTATGTAAACCCAACAAAAAACAACAACATGAAATGAAAGGATATGCTTATTGGGGTCAATTCCTGTTCTATAAATCCTTTGAAGCCATACTCAGACTTATTCAGTTGTGATTTTCCTGTTTAACGGACTTTTCTGTTTCAAATTTAGTACTTCTTAATGACTATGGATTAGGTTCAAAAATTCAAATTTTACAAAACCGTTACTTTTTGAACTCTACAAATCAGTTTATTTTTAAATTTCAAAAATTCCGTTACGTTTCAAAAGCAGAAAAGCCGTTATTTCACAATCAATTTAATTATTCATAAAACGCAAAAAGAGCCTCAATTTCGGAACATTTATAGAACAGAAACAGACCCCTCATGAATATGGATTTTTTTTTAAACACCAAATGAATGCATTCATAGCAATAACATATATTAATAATATTAATAACAAAAAAGAACTTATATTTGGAACTAAATTAACTTCTAAAAGCTTAATTTATTGAATAATAGTTTAATAATTCGTGTGTTATTGTGTTGTGTGTTGTTGTTTATATTTTTGGCAGCTTTTGCGTACAGACAAGTGGATTTTCGCGCTCCAATTGCTTCCTTCCATTCTCCTTATAGTCGTAGCTGCAATTATGGACTTCTTTATATCGATGAGCTGAACAAAAATATTGATTACAGTGACATTTCATGACCATAATAATTCCTAATTTCTTATTGCAATGAAAACATCGAAGCTTTCCTGTGGATTCTTTATTACTCTGCTGCTGTGGCTGCTGCTGCTGCTGTAGGTGATGATGATAATGCTGTGTTGGTGGATGATGATGAAGACTATTATCGTCATTACTTGCTGTTTCGACTTTCTCTTTGGCTACCATTAATGCTTTATCATCTGCCTTAAGGTCATTATTGTCTAATTTGATTTCGGGCAATATGACATACTTCTTGTCGTACATACTCGATATACTACTTGTGTCAAATGATGTTGAACTAGACGATGAGCTCCATGATAATTCGGCACTATCTACAAAGTCCTCGTAAAATGAGTCGAAATTCATATTGAATAGATTCTCCTCGGACTGGAAATCGAAATTTGAAACATCTGACGATTTTCGGTTCGACGACGCTGCAAATTGATTTAAATTTGAATAATAACTATTACAATATTCAAATCGACTTTGTCGACCGCTTGAATTACTTTCTGTCGCACATCCATCGAAATAATCAAATGTTGGTGGTTGCGGGATTCGTTCATTCTGATTTGATCGGCAATGAAATATGCTCGCTCCGTGATGAAAACTACTCAAATCCTTTGTTGTAAGGGACGATTTACGATCACATGTCTTTGGTAATTTTGTCGTTGAAGACGTTGACGTGGAGAGATCAGAATTTGATAAGCATGCATCATTCAAATTTATATATCCTGAAATCATAAAGAAACATGGAGATTATTATTATTATTGCTGTCATAAAAATAGACTTTTATTGCTTAACATTTCACAGAGATGCTACGTGACAAATGCGAAATTTACAATTACTGGCATTAACTGCTGGAAAAAAGCCATCAGATTTAACGACTTTTGAAAAAATCAAATTTTAGCGATTTTGTAGGATTCAAAATTTAACGGTGCCATAAAATTGTAAATTTGTAGAATTCAAATTTTATCGGTTTTAAAGGATTCAAAATTTAGCGGTTTTATCTACAGACTGTTACAGTCAAGGAACTAAGCTTCGCAACAATGTAAAATCGCAATGATAGTCATCGAATGATAATGTTAACTACTAAGTGAATAGTGAATACTATAATTAAGAAATGTCTTTATGACACATCAAAAATTAAATAATAATTATAAAATATGGAAATAGCTTAAAACACTGAAACGTGCTGTACATACCTCGCCTATATTTAGTAGGAATAGCGTCAAGTCGAGATAATTGTGGTATATGAACAGTCGTAGTGGAAGTAGTCGTTGCTAAATTACTACTTTCGTGTGTACTTAATGTATTATGATTTCCTAGTTGCGGATTACTACTAAAGCTTTTTAATTTGTCAATCGGTTTCTTTAATGGCGTTATCCTCCTCGATGTCATCTTTTTAGTCAGAACATTGTCAAGATCACCACCAAACAAATCAATCATTTCACTATTATCCTTTGACACTAACTTACTACCATCACTAAATGCATTCTTCTTAATATTTTCCACAATTTCATTACTTTCACACATTTCTTTCTTATTATTCACAGAATCCGAATCACAATCCACATGATCAGGTCCAAGCACAGCCGATACACCAGAGTCATTATTTAATAAATCATTTAGAAACTTGTCATAATTAACATCTATAAGATTATAGTCACTTTGTGGCTCATCTTTCATTGTTTGATTAATTGAGAGTAGAAGTAGATTAGATCGTGGCCAGTCACTGTCTGAGCCTAAATTTCCCTCACTCGTATTAATATTTTGATTACTTATTGATAAATTATTTTTAAATCGATCATTAAGTTGATTTAAATCCAGATCCGAATGATAAAATCGATTTGATGACTGTGGCTGATGAAAGCATTCATAGTCATCATTAATTTTGGACGTTAAGGAAGAAGTAGATGAGGATGTGAGGTTTTCATAGAATTCAATGAGAGATTCGGCAGATGGTTGCTTCCCACTCGCAACATCCAACAAATCCTCAGCTTTTGAGTCTTTAACAGCAAGCGATTCGAGAATTGGCGGTGAATCTTCACGTATGAGAAGTTTGGGAAGTATAAAGTATTCATCACCCGGACTTACTTTTGTTATGGCTGTTCCCTTAAACATGTCTATTTTCTCATCTGCAGCGAGCTTTAAGGCACTACCTGAATTATTTGCACTTGAATATTCCCGACTTGATTTTGACGTAGCCAATTGAAAATGCGAACATGCTGAATTTGGCGTTGATTTGGTAAGAAATTCTTGCAGTAATAAATCTTGCATTGACGTTGAATAATTTGTTTTTGGGAGTGAATCTTTAATCTTTGTTCCCACGGCTGTCGATGATGACGACGATGACGGTTCACAAATATGCTCTACATATTCCTGAATAATTGGCGAGGAACTTGATATTGTAGCTGCTTCCATTGTTGCCAAACTTGACGTATTTACACATAAATTACTGTCAGTTCGATTAAGAATGTAGTTTGATTGAAAGGATAAAGAACGCCCCAACTTATTTCCATTTGTTGTTGGTGTAAACATATCACTTCCATTGGTTCCAGTCGTCGATGAAAAGCAAAATTCTAGAGGATTTATATCATTATTAAATAATGACATTGATGAGGTTGAGGCTGAAATTGTCGGTTGATTGAGGATCGTCTTGAATGAGCGATTTCTTGATAAATTCTCTTTTATCTTCATCTTTGACTCGGCTGACAAATTCCTCGATGACTGCTTCTGTATGACTTTATCAGCATAATTGTCTCTGGCTCTCGATGAAAGTATCGTTGCAGATGTGGATGACGAAATATTCAATGCAGGCTTTTCAATGCACAAAGTTTCATTAAGCTCTTTTGTAATATTATCCGTTATCTGTTTCGATAACTTATCCATCGATATATCCATCATTTTACTGTTGTTGCCACAACTATTTTTAGATTTCAGTGGAAATTTAATTGATTTCAATTTCTTTCTTGCATTGACCAGTTCCATTTTAAGCCTTAACTGATTGACTTTCTCTGTTGTTCGAATGTTCTCCTGAATCGTTTGATCAGTCATTTTCTTAATCTTTTCATCATCACGTCCACTCAGACCACCGCCAAAAAGACTATTTGTTGACTTTCCATACTTATTATTATGACCCGATGTTGATTTTCCCTTGCTATCGCTTCCATTCATCTTCCATAATCGATGAACATTCTTCTTACAGCCTTTATAAACTAAATATTTTGTTTTTATTGTTAATGGTTCTTCACGTCTATAAAAAAAAACAGAGACATAAAATAAAATGCGCGTTAAGAAGACATTCATTCGTGAGATTAATAAGAAGTAAAATGTCTTACTTTGAATTTTGATGCATGACATCATCAAACCAACTATCATAATCAGTTAAAGGAACACGACGTGCTGACGATATTGGACCAACTTTCATGCCAAGAACGAGTTTCAACTTCAATTTGTTTCCTTCATGAAAATTTGGAATGTCTTTTAACAGCATTGAATCATTTAATTCCGTTTGATTATGCAGCAAATGTAGCTGATTAGATGGAATGCCTGAAAGAAAAAATAATAAATAAATATATATAAATATGAAGGAGAGAAGAAATATGAAAATCAGTTAAGTAATATTCGATTGTATGTGCGTTCAAGGCGTATTTCGGTGTGTAATTAAAAATTTTAAGTTATAACGTCCTTTTAGAATTTGAATTAAAGTTCAATTTAATAAACTAGATTCAAATCTACATTAGTCGTTAAATTTTTGAACTTAATTTAAAGCTTGTCGTTCAAATTTCAAAACGATTTCTTATAAGAACTGTGACATTAGCCACAAGACTGACTTGTTACTGATAACAATAATGACACGCAGTTAAAATTTAATTGATGAATAAACTAATATATATTGAGATGAATGAAACTGATCATAAGTCAACTGGAATGATCTGGATTTTTCAATGAAATTCGCTGGGACTTTTTCATGAGTCACGAACGAACGAACGAGAGTCAAAGTCAGAGAATGTAATGGAATGTACTCCACAACACACCCCAGACAAAATAAACATAATGGAGCATTAGACTTGCAGATATGCAGTAGAAGAGAGGAAAAAAATCAATGAAGAAATGAAAAATTATATCACACACACTCTATAATCTTCAATTTATATAAAAATGAGCTATCGTAATATTTCATACGCGACAAGTGCAATACATGAGAAGCAAAATAGAGAGATTAAATGAAATATTAAGAAAAAGAAATGAAAAAGCGCGAGAACGGAATGAAAAATCTGACCTTGTACTTTACACATTTTTAAGTCATTTGAGAGAGCTTCTCGGAGCAATTATGATTGTCTTTTCATCTTATGTACCTAAAAGCTTTTCATTTTTTTTCAATTTCCGAAGCACAATCATCCATGCACATTCGACATTCTTATTATTATTAGTTTTATATTTTGGAAGATACGATGTCTAAAATATATATTAATGTATTGGTAAATAAAGGCGTAAAATGATGCCTATATATGTGACATGGTCAAACTTTTATAACATACATTCCAAAAAATTATTATTATTATTGCAAGGAAGTCTCTCTCTCGCTCTCTTATATACAGTTATGTCTCGTCTTATGTAAAACTGCTCATTTTAAAGGAAAATGGGGAAAATGGATGAAGAAGCTATAGTAAAAATAAAGTGCAGCTTCCGAGAAATGACCGAATAAAAATATAATCAATCAGGCCTCATAGTCTATTTTTCATTCGCTTCTTCTTCCATTCCTCTGTCTCTTTTACTTCTCCTCAAAATATATATGTATATATATTATATGAATGTAAAATGTATGACTTACCTAAAATCTTTTGAATATTTGATTTCACTATAGATATCTTATCATGCTCGCTAATTGATATTTCAAACTGGGATCCAGTTAATAACGATTCAATAATGATTTTTGTTTGATCCATTGCTATGGATGTCTGATCTTATCACCTTTTTATGTATTAAAAATTATTTCTTCTTTTTTAAAAAGAAAATTCAATAAAAAGAACTTTTTATGAGTCAATATATTTTTAATTCACTAAAATCCTTCTTAAATCATCTTGTAAACGGTTCCTTTATGCTTTTTTCAGCTTATTCACTTTTCAACACTCATTTTCAATATTTTAAAGTTATTAATATGATGAAATATCCACTTAATTCCATTAAATTCAGCTCGATATTCTTTTTTGACGTTTTTTTTTTATTATTTTATCCGGAGTCACTAATGTTGTTTTTTTTTGATTAACTCGTCGAATTTATTTAAACTTAATCAACACAACGGATCATAAATAAACATAATTTTTTCTTAATTTATTTAACTTATTACGTCGCAAACTAGTTTTGGAATTTTTTATGATTTTATGGAACTTAAAGCTGTTTTATTCCTTAATTTCCACTGCCTTCCTATTCTTATCCTCACTAATCACCTGCTGAATTCCTCATTTTATCATAAATCATGTCAAATGACAGTAATTCAATTATATTATCGGATGTACAGTTAAATGCACTTTTTAGACGACTTTATAATTCTGTAGCTTTCCCATGGATCTTCAAATCACGCAAAAATTACCCTTCGAACGAAATTCAAAAATAAAATTACGGTTGGGCTGTTTGTGAAATTTGAGAAACTTTAAACATCACGCACGTGTCAACCATTTTAATCTCAAAAACAGTCATGATTCGATTGTAATTGCATATTTTTGTACGATGAGAAACTTAATTGAAAGTGACAAGCGACAACAACAGAAAAACCCAATCCGGAAAAATTTCATGCCTATATTAAAAGTAGCGGGAGAGGAAAAGAGCACAAGTAAGAAGAAAACACAGACTAGACATGTGGTAGTAAAAAAAAAGTTCATTTTTCAGTCTGTGCTTCTCACTCAATTTTAGTTGTTAAAGTCATCACCAAGTAGACGGTTTAATTTTTTTAAGTTCATTCCTTATTAATTTTATCTTTGAGTTTTTATTTTTAAACCATTCATCGAGGTACAGTGTGTACGGATAGACACGACACCCCCATATAGTGAACCATTATGTGTTGAACGAATAATAAAATACGAGAAAGAATAAAAAAGTGCATTAAAAAATATTTTTAATAATAATTTTAATGTGTCTGCGCCATTTTGATTCTATTCATAGAAAAGAAAATATATAAATTAATGAAATTTTTATATGAATATAAATTGCGAGAAAGAGAGAAAAACAGTTGAAAAAAAATAAAAATAGAAGAAACAAAAATCAAAGTTTCATAATTATTAAAACAAAAAACGAGTGTGAATGCAAATAGGATATACAGTAAAGTAAAGTAAGCAACTAAGGCCCACGAAAGAAAGAAACAAGTCATATAGTCAAAAAGATGTCGACATTTAACGAGAGCATAGAGAAACGAGAAGCATCGAGTAACGAGAATTCAAAGAAGATATTTGACGAGCAGGTTTACAACGATTCGGGATTCATAACAGAGAGTTGCGAATTATTATCGTCAGAACAGAGTAAAGAAATCACATTTGGTGCTGATAATACCAAGTCTCAAGAAACTGATATGACAACAAAAGCGACGGGAAAATCCCATTCTAATAAAGATAACGAAAATTACACAGACAGTGGCATTGTTTCTTGTTCAAACATATCATCGTCAACACTCAGCAATTCACAGACGAAAGGTATGCATGTATTGTTGGAACTACAACCTTATGTTCCAGAATACATGCTTAGATCGCTTAGTGGCATCAAGAGACAGCCACATCCAACGCTACAGATTGAAAAGTATTTTGAGCAGGACGAAGACGGCTATACAAAATTACACATTGCCATTCTACATAATATTGAGCCAGCAATTCAAGTTCTCATCAATTTTGCACCAGATGAAAGTTATCTGAACATTAGGACCTTCTCGGGTCAGAGTGCACTCCACTTAGCGGTTTTATTAAACCAAAGCTTAACAATTAAACGACTTATCGATGCCGGAGCTGATGTCAATAATCGTGATAATAGATGTAATTCACCATTACACTTGGCAGTCCTCAATGAAGATATTAATAGTGTAAAGATTATTCTCGCTGCCATTTATCCACAATCCAAATCCACAACAACGTCTTCTTCGTCATTATCATCAGAACTGATTGCAAATCTTGAACAATGGAATTACGATGGTGAGACGTGCTTCTATGTCGCATGTCGTCTTCAAAATATTCCAATAATGAAACTTCTCGCTAAACATGGAGCTAATATAAATGCACGAGAGGGCCGATCTGGATATAGCGCACTACATTTAGCAGTCGAAACACATTCAAATGACGTTATCAAGTTTCTATGCGAGGATTGTGACTCGATAGACCTTGATTATGAGAATTATGGTGGCTTCACAGCATTTCAATTAAGTCTATTAACGAATCAGGAAGCATTGGCCAATTACTTAGTGAAAAAGGGAGCTACAGCATTTTACACGCCAGAGAGTGATTATGATGACAGTGACGATAGTGACGTCAGTACTAATGAATTTGAAGAATTGGAGAAGAATCAGTTGGTAAATAAAATTGCTGAAATTGCCGTTAATTAATAATTTAATAAGAAATCCCCATGATTAATAAGATTAAATGATACATCCATAAAAATATCCCAAAAAAATAAATTCTTTCATCTATTCATAAGATGCTACATGTAAAATGATAAAAAAAGCGGATTAATCACTAATTCCTTTATTGTTGTTTTGTATTAATTAATTACACTTAGTGAAGAATTCTCATTGAATTCCTTTATGAAAGAGAAATCATTTCTAAGAGAAAATAAAATCAATTGTTATCAATTTTATGATTCTATAAATACAAACTTTATCAATCCATTACTTTTAACAATCAAGCGATTCGATATTTCATTTCCTTCCAACTTTATATTCAGGACATTTCAGTACTTAACACTTTCAGGTTCAATTAACGGCATTTTAAAATTTAAATTTTAACGACTTTTCAAAATTGAATTTTTTCTTTTGAACTCGAAATCACTTTTTCAAATTTTGAACTTTAAAAGACTTTTCCCTTAAATTGATTTTAGGACACGCAAGACTCATTAAAGTTAATTATATGCATGGAAAAACTCACCTAAAAATATCCTTTGAATGAAACATTGTACCATGTAGATTAGCTTGACAAGAACTTTTTCATTAATAATTCATGACCTCGAAAAAGAACTTTTTTTTGAAAAGAAAAAAAAAGAGTCAAGAAAAAGCGTAAATACCAAATTTAGCTATAACAAGATTATCTTCATCGTTTGGAAATTTTGTTTTGTATATTTTCGTTTCGTTAATTTTGTAATAAAATAGCAACAAAATGTACGGGGGAATTCCGTAGTTCAATTACTTTCACTCGATGATGTAGTAGACGAACGTCTTTTACGTTTTTTCCTGTCTTTCTTCTTGCTGGATTGTTTGTGGTGATGCCGGTGCTAAAAAATGTAACAATAGTAAATTACTGATGTGAATGACATGTCTCGTAAGCATGCGAAATGTTAGCGGATGGCCTAAATTGCTTTTTGATGGTCGCAATCGAGGCTTCTTTCCTCTCACAAAATGGCATATTTTTTAAAAATGATTGTGGGAAATTCATGAACTATTGGAATCTTAATCCTTTTTATCACAAAACTTGTTTTGTTGAGTTCCCATGACATAAGCTTTGATAGAACATTAAGCTAGAAAATTCTACATATGGCACGTGCTGGAAAAAATGAATGAAATTCCACAAACAATTGTCTTATCATCATAAAAATCTAATGAGCTTGATGGATTATCTCTAAGCCTCGTGATGTAGATAGCCATAAAAATATGAATGGGACACCAGGGAAATGGCTTTCTTTAATTAATCCCAAAAGAACACCACAAAAATTATTATAGACATGGCAAAATTACAAGTCATGTGAAGCTTTATCATGACACTTATCAGTAATGGAGATGAGTACAGCAAAACGGATTCATATTGGGAAAATATTGTGTGTAAACATCAGAATTATGTATAGGGCTGATTACTGGATTGATCCTCTATGCTGAGAATAAGGAGAACTGTCACATGTGAGTAATTGGTTCTCATTACTTTGAATACGTTCCTAGCATTTAATAGGATCAAAAATAGCTTTACAATCCCAAAAATCTCTAAAATTTCCCATCAAGTCTTAATAAATTCCAACATTTACCCCTGATCATCATAAAATGTAGATTGAGAATATTTATCTGAACAGATATTACTGGAGAAATCCAGCACAGCAAAAATACTGGGAAAAAATTCTCGAATTAAAACGAATCAGACGCAAATAAAGTGGCGCTCCATGACGTAAAAAGACGAAGCAATTGAAAAATCTTTACAATAGACTAACTTATAAAAGTTATGAATATACAAAAATATAATAATGAAGAGGGAAAAAATAGCATGTGATGGGGAATTTTTCAGACCAACGCAAAAGAAAACGAAGAATTTTCATGTAAATAAGTTTTTCATTCTATATTAAAACTCGCGCTCTGAAAATAGATTATTGGCAGAAGAGGAAAAATTTCCCAAATAGCACAGCTAAAAATTCCAATGTTGCTTCAGTGGTATTTCTATATACAGCTCATTGCATCGCTTAGTAACGTCTGTAGCGATAAATAAACATTTTTTTTTCTCTATAGTCTCGCGCATCATTTGTTAACGACCCCTTATTAAAAATATTCAACTCAACATTATATTAACGTCGTTTTGGGTTTTTCCGACTTTGAGTTGTGTATTGTAGCTTTTGACTCGATTTTTTTTTTGTTTATATAAGAAAATGTGTTTTTTTTCGTCTCAATTAAACATCTTTCTCACAAATACTAGAGAATGAATGTGTGTTTCTACATGCTATCCATTATTTGTATTGGACATACTTGTTATTATTATTTTCCCTATTGACTAGAAAATGTAGTCCATAAAAGTACAAAAAATTTTCCTCGCTCATGTTTTTCCCATTTTTCAAATTTATTTTTATAAAAACGCCACAATAATAATAGCTTTGACGATGATGACGTCTATCCATCGTTCGTTTGGATTTCGAGACAGAAGAACAATATGAACAATATACAAATTGTTAAATAAATGGGTAATAAAGCCACATTTGAAGCTTTGCGTAGGCGCATTTACTTCCACCAGATTAATAGCACTATAAAATAATGTTCTGGCAATGTATGGATAAGCAAACAACTTGAAGAAGTTTGGATAAGTGAACTTAAAAATTTAACAGCTTCCTCAAATTCAAATTAGAAAACCTTACAAATTCTGTTAAAATTTCAGAACACTGCAACAGTTCGCAAACATTTGTAAGTTTCTCAAACATTAATACCAATTAATTGATGAATAATCACAGTCAGTCATCAAGCCCAAAATGGATCATCATCAACCACACAATTCCAAGTAAAATGTGCTAAAAATTGGTAATTTTTTGGAATTTCCCCGTATGAAGTTGTTGTTGTATACACAGCCAGTATGTATAGCAGTAATATTGAGTACAATTGATATGAGAGGAGAGAAGGTAAAGCCAACGAAAAAAAAAACCTGTTAGGCAGCAATGTGTTTTGCACATTTCAATCATACCACGACCCTGATATAACGTTTTAATTCCTCAATTACCAGCTGTGCTGTGCGATTTATAAAGGTATGAAAACAATAACATTCAATAACTTCACATTCGTGTACATCATCACTGAATTGATCACTTTCCTATTCATTGACGAAAATTATTCACTATTTGCTGGAAATTTCCCCATTCCTGCTTGTAAAACTAAAGAGTTAAAAACATTTTACAATAAGTATAATACATGAGAAATAACTTGGAATTTCCATATTAATTTAAAGTATGTGCCTTGCAATATATTATAGAATCGATTGAACAACGAATGCTTTCATAAAAATTAGATTAGGATTATCAGTACGATTTGCAGTAATTCCCAATTATGTCAGATGATTATTCATGTTAAATTGTGATTTTTTTACCGGTTTCTGGGAATTTGAATTTTTTATGAGTCGCGTTGGAATTTCCCTTTTGAAATTCGCATGAATTTTAAATCAAAAAAATACGTTATTAATTACACTCAATTATTATATTGTCAAGTAATAAGTTTCAAGGGATTTACGGGAAATTTTTATATGCACATGACTTGTTGACTATTAATTGGAAAATACCCGTAGATTTATTTGCAAAAAACACTGCCTTGACCTAGCCATTTGTGTTGTTTTATCTCTCTTTGTCGCTGTCTAAGTCAATATTTATGATAACCGGTTAAATCCTCGCAGAGTAGCTTAATTAAGCTTAATTGAGGATAGTTTTTAATCTTTGTATTTATTTTCCCGCAAATGATAATAAATTAAGAATACAAACATTTGGAGTCGTCACCCATTTGCTTGGTTTCCAATTGATGATAAATTCGAGAGTCAAACTCCAAAAACAGGAATTAAGATAAAAGGAATTAAATTTAAAAACCCCAGTCGTACAAAATTTCCCATATTTTTTCAAAATATACACCACTGAGAATAAGATAAGGAAATTAATCTTAATTAGTAAGCCTTGATTTACCTTCCCATCACTTCGATCACTTGATGAATCTTTTCTTTTTCGTTCATTACTCCTCGATCGTCTTCTTGTAGATCTGTTTGAAACTCGTGATACTTCACGCTTGATGTCACGCCTAATTGGAGACTCATTACGTCTGTTTGATGATCTCTCACGCTTAAAATCTCGCCTGGCTGGTGATTTTTCACGTTTAACAGACGTTTCAGCTCTAATATATTGTGGATCTCCTATTTTTGGTGCACATCCTTCAGTATGTAATTTCCTTGTTAGATCATCATACCTATCATCATCTTTTGGAGGCTTATAATCTTGAACATGATCAACTCGAATGGATTTCCCAAGTATCTGGTTTTTAAAGAAGAGAGAAAAAAAAAAGAGTTTTTAACAATCAATTTCTGATTTCTCTTATGTGTAGTTAATAAGATTGAAGAAGTAAAAACCCAAATAAAGTAAATAAGGAGACTCTGACATATAGCAAATATTCACCTTAATTCCATTTAAATTATCAACAGCAAGTACAGTTGAACGCTGATCTTCGTAACAAACGAAGCTAAATCCTTTTTGTTTTCCTGTTTTTTTGTCACGTATGAGATTTAAATTTACAATTTCCCCATACTGAGAGAATACACTAATTATATCTCCTTCGGTTAAGTCATACGGCAAGCCACCAACAAATATCCACGAACTGCCTCTGTATTGATCATGCCAACTTGTCTTATTGCCACTTTTTAGTTCCTGTTCACTCAATTTGGTGACATTTTTCATATTTCTGTATAATATTAATGATTAATTATATAGTATTCATTTGTTTCAGGATGTTTTGGTAAACGTTTAAAAAAGATCCAGTGACTGGATCTTGAAAGATTTACTTTTAATCCTTTTTTCTATGGAATATCAATCGTAAACTCATACTTACGTCATAGGATTCATGATGAGTGATTTATTTTATATACAATATGCACAAATAATGAGATAATTAATTTAACTTATTTGTAAACAAAACAATCGCGCTTAATCACTAAAATCTAAGAATTTCTTTGAATCATGAGCTATTTTTAACTTCTGGCAATTCCTTAAAGCTTATTATTATTAACTGTGTCAAGATCAAAGAATATAAGTCTCTAATATCTTTTAAAAGTATACTTTAATTCAATATTATTCAATTTCCATGAAACACTGATAAAAACAAATAAAAACACAAATGTTCAAATATTTAATGACAGTTATTAAAAAAGAAAAGAAAAATTGTGCAACTTTGACAACGTCGCATTATTATCGTCGAGTTTTTCATTAATAATATTATTTCTAGCTTTTAACTTACTTTACGAGAAAAAGAATCACAGTGCTTGCTTGTGCGAAGAGAAAACATATTGAGTCCTTAGAATATATTCAAGTTCAGCTGCATTCTTGACAAGAAAAACAGGAAAAATGGCTTTTAATCAATTACGTTCATCAGCTTTAAAAATTAATTCTATATTAGCTAATCGAACCTTCTTCACATATTCTAAATCAATATCCCAACCTTTGGAACGTGATCCAGCATTTGTGGAAGCAAGAAAGGCGGTTGAATGCATCAAATCAGGTAATAAAAAGTTATTTTAATTTTTTTTTACTGTTTTACCTGAACTTTTACGATACTTGCCCTATCTATTAAGTAATTAGAGTATATAATAAGCCGCTTGAGATAACTTTTGTCTAATCGCAGGTGTATAAATAGTAAATGGTCTTAAAAATCCTTTATACTAGCCCAATAAAACAGGTTTTTGTTACATAAATTCTGCCTGCTAATTTTCTGGATGTTCGCAAAAAAGAAGAAAAGCTCAAGGCCGTATTTATATACTTTACTTATCGAATAATACAATAAAATGATATTCTAGCATTAAAGTTGAAAGTCAAAAAGAGTACACCTATACATTGATACTGTAAATTACCTAAAACACTTTAATGATCCAGCTCATTATTTTGACATATAATACCGAACATCAAATGGATGATTAATAGCCGCAACCTTGTTTGTCAATTTAAAATTCAATTGCATTTAAAATGTGCAAGTGATTGATAAGAAACTGTGTGAGAAAGCAACAAACGGGTTTTAAAAAATTGTAAGTTGAAAACCTTACAATTTCTATCAAATGTTTCAGAGCCATATAAAAGTTTAAATTCATTTGTATGGTTTTTGCTTTAAATTTCTATTTAAAAGATGATTGAAAGCCTTGAATCATCGTCGATTCTAATGCATTAATTTCTTCAGCTGAGTCATTGACAATTATAAAGAACAAGTACAAAGTATTGACCCACAAATTGATAATCGAAGTTCGTAATGGAAAAATACTCCATTCATTAGTTCCAAATAAATTAGCATATATAATATTTTTAATCAGTGCTTACGGTGCTTACTATGTATGTTTACACACAAGTATGGGGTCCATGTGATGAAATTAGAGTATAATAAAATTGGCGTACTATAACAATTTGGAACAAGCGTCATAGATTGCATTCATGTGAGCGAATGAATAGATTTGTAATCAGACATTATGACTCAAAGAGCATTAAAGATAACGTACAAGTTCTTCCTCATTAAAGCATAAATGTGATTTTTTTTTCGTTTTCAATCTGTTGCTGTAAGCACCATAAAAACAAAATTTGACGTCAATAATAACGTGAGATTTTTTTTTTATTATAGGCGATACTGTTTTTGCTCAGGGAGCAGCTGCAACCCCTAATGTCCTTCTTGAAGCTATGACTCATCATGCCAAGGAAAACAATTTGAAGGATATTAAGGTCATTCATATGCACACTGAAGGTGACAATACTTTGATTAATCTTGAATTATTCATGATACTCATCCTTTGATTGACTCTTTAGGGCCAGCATTGTATGCTCAAGACGATTGTAAGCACATTTTCAGATCGATTTCGACATTTATGGGTGGTAATGTTCGTAAGGCAGTTGCTGAAGGTCGTGCAGACGCAATTCCAATTTTCCTTCACGAAATTCCACTTTTGTTCCGTCGTGGATTAATTCCCGTCGATGTAGCTTTGATTCATGTAATGATAATGTCAGTTTCTATAGAAATCTTTTGTAAAACAACAATTTATTTATTTTTATAGTCTTCACCTATTGACAATCACGGCTACGGATCACTTGGAACGTCTGTCGATTGTGTACGTGCAGCCCTAGAAAATTCAAAGTATATCGTCGCACAAGTAAACAAGCAAATGCCTAGAACCTTCGGAGATGGAATAATTCATAAATCTCATTTCGATGCAGCCGTTAATGTTGATGTTCCACTACCCGATCATCCTCATCGCAATATGTAAATTAAAAGCTGTCTTATCAATGATTTGCATTTTAAATGAAAACTTGTTTATTTAATTAATTATCAAAGGTCAGCTCAGGAAGAAGCAATTGGAAAATGGATTGCAGAAAATTTAGTCGATGATGGTGCAACTTTACAAATGGGTATTGGAAACATCCCAGACGCTGTCCTTGCTAAGCTTCACAATCACAAAGACCTTGGCATACACTCAGAAATGTTTGCTAGTGGTGTCGTCGATCTCGTTAATAAAGGATGTGTCACTAACAATAAGAAAGTTATTCATCGTGGCAGAATTGTTGGAAGTTTCTTGGTTGGATCGAAACAGCTTTATGATTTTGTTGATAATAATCCATTCATCGAAATGCTCGAAATTAATTATGTCAATGACACCAAAGTTATCTGTCAGAATCCAAAAATGACTGCAATTAATAGTTGCATTGAGGTAGACTTGACTGGTCAAGTATGCTCAGATTCTATTGGTGAGTTTGCTGTTGTACTGTTTTTAAAACAATTAAATTTAAAACATTTGTATAGTTTTTGAATTTAATTAAAACATTTCAAATGTTTTAATGAATGATAAATTGAAAGGTTCTTAAACACCAAGAACCATACAAATATTATCTTAATATAATTTGTAGGGTTCTAGAATATAAATTTTTTCTCTAATTAGGTACAAGAATGTACTCAGGATTTGGAGGTCAAGTTGATTTCATTCGTGGTGCTGCTGAAGGATTTGATGGCAAGGGAAAACCAATCGTTGCTCTTATGAGTGTGACCAACAAAGGCGAGAGTAAAATCGTCCCAACACTAAAAGTTGGTAAGTTGATTATCAATGAGATGTTAATTTTTTAAGTACGTTAATTAACAAATGTTATTTATTTTAGGCGCTGGAGTTGTCACATCGAGAGCGCACGTTCACTACGTAGTTACAGAATTCGGTATTGCATCTCTATTTGGAAAGACATTGAGACAAAGAGCACACGCTTTAATTCAAATTGCTCATCCAGATCACCGCGAAGCATTAGAGAAATCAGCATTTGAGCGTCTTAAGACGATGCCAACATTTGATTAAGAACATAATGTCTTACTGAAACCCCTATTTTTTATTCAAATTGAATTTATCCTGAATTCCTGATATGATTTTCAAAAATTCAACTGTAGAAGTTGGTTGTGTTACGCAATAATTGATTTGCATTTTAATCTAGAAACGAAGATATTGCATGTTTAAATTATTCACTAAAAAGTCAGAAATTCGATGAAATATCCATTAAAATTGACACTTTATTATAAAAATATGTAGTTTTAAAAACAATCAATTAATATTAACTTTAACTAGAGGCGTCCGAGTAAGATTCATCAGTTTTCGATGATGCAGATTCCTTGATTGCACTTAATTTGTGCTTTTTCTTTTGTGGTGCTGGCAATGACTGTGGCTCTTCAGACCTCTCTCGAATCACAGATATTTCTCTCTTTATTTGCACATTTTCCTTTAGTATCTCATCCATTTTAGCACTTAGCAAAGCAATTGATGGTCCTTGTGCATGATTATTACTGCCGTTATTAGACGACGATGTTGCATGCGATATAAGACTAGGAACAGTTTGTACTGCATATTTTAAAAACATTACAACAATAAAGATAGTGCTGATGCCAAAAAATGCTATATAAATGATTTTTGATGATATCCTGCTAAGGAAATCCATCGATGAAGTCGTTTCAGAGAAAAAATCTGTAAATTCCTCAAAGATTGATCCAAAGTAGCTCATTTGAAGCTTTGCTAGCCATTTAAAGAACACTTCTAGTGGATTACAATATTTTTTGGACGGTGTCAATGTCTTTTTCATGTATTCCTTGCATTCATTCTTCTTACTTCCAGTTACCCATGTTTTTAATGACCCAAAATAATCTTGATTTTCAGCATGATACTCTTTACATGGATTGTTGTGAATCTTATCTTTAGAGAGTGCCATTATCTGCTCTACTTCTAAATCATGCATGCAATCTAAGTACGTCATATAATAACTAATGCCACAGATTCCAATTAAGGACATAAAAATAATTGTAATGAATTTGAGCCTTGAAAAGTGAAATATTCTATTAACTATGACTATCGCGGTTAAGCTAAGTAAGATCCATAGAATCGGAGAGCTGAATGTCGTTATTGAATCAATTATTTCCTGTTTATAGTAGTCATAAAGGATCGTTGCAGCTGATTCTTGCCAATCTTCATTGCTGGATTGTTTAAGCACTTCTTCCACTAATCCATCAATCTCATTGATATTAAGTCCAGATATGTCTGTATCCACCAGCAACTCATACTGCTTCTTATTGATTTTTAGTGGGATATTTGCAATAAAATAATCATCTGATCTTGGATCAGATCTAAATCTCTGCTTCCTGAATAAATGCTTGACTAGTCTCTGATAATAAGGAATAGAATCAACGTTAGTTCTTCTTATGATTTCAATTTGTTCAAGTTGTTCCAAAAGCCGGTCATTATTGATGTTTGATTCATGTGGATGTCTGTACTGGATCTCAGCATTTATAAGTATTTGCATGTAAAACAGTATAAATAAAGCTGAAATAATTGATTTAAATGTTTTAAAAAAGCTTAATTAAGTTATTATTAATTATTTCATTGACTTACAGAATTTCATCATTTTCGATTCTTTGGATGTTTTGTTGACTAAATGTAAAGCATTGACTGAAACATTGTGAAAACATTAGCTGAAAAAAGTAAACAAAAAATTCATGGAAGATATAAAAATTAAAATTATTATACCATTTCCAACAAATCGAGCTGCTCAAATAGCTTATGATGTGCTAAGAATTGATCCGGAACCAAAGAGGAATCACATTAAAAAGGAATATGTTCTTGATGACAATATTTTAAGTGTGTAAGTAATTCATGAAATTTAACTAGCTTGTTCATAAGACAGTACAAATGTTTATTCATAAAACAATACAAATTCTTGAAATTGTATGGTTCTATTTTGAAAAATTACCGTTAATTTTGGATTCCATCTATTTTAGAGAATTTTGTGGAGATATAGCTAAGAACGTACGTACAGCATTGACCAACTTCTATGAATCTTTGATTCTGTGTGTTGAAACACAAGATCAGTTCGGTCCACCACTTTCTGAAGAATATAATTATTATTAAGTAACAGTTAAGAACATCCAGTAATGCCTGAACACACGCCAGCTCCAACATCATCAAGAGGAATCTACGGATTTGTGGTCTATCTTCTATTTTCTACTTTATTTGTCCTGTATTTCTTCTGGGCTTTCATTCCTTTAGAGGTTTTTGAGGCAATTGGAATCACAGAACTTCCAAACAAGTACTTTGCTCTCTTTGTTCCTATACTGATCCTTACAGCAACATTTCTATTCGGATTCTTCATTTATCCATCAATTAGCTTCGTCATGACACCAAATGTGGATTCAATTTATACAGTAACTGATCCATATGCTGTAAAGAGATGTCAGTACAGAGACGAGAATGGAATATTATGCGATAATAAAATAGCATACGACTTTGAAGTTAATCCATGGAACTTTGCTAGACTGTGCAACAACCATCAGAATCGAGTGTCTAAAATTGAGAACTTTTGTGACTGTACTGAAAAGGAAAAGTGCTTGCTTTATACAGACAAAGACTATGTGGATAAATTAAGTAGAAAAAGAAATATTATTCAAAATTCAGGCGATATGAACATAGATGAAGTATCAGACATTTTATATGGTGAACTTAATTAATAAAGTATATTTTACAACTCTTAATTAAAAATTAAATTAAATTTGGAGATCAATTTTCTTAATTATATCACGAGCTTTGTTCAATGTATTATTGGACGTAACTTTTGCCAGATCAGTTATATATTTGTCGACATTTTCGACGGTTGCTCCGCCTTTCCAACCAGGAATTTGCAATGAATTGAAGTTTGCTGAGAGGATTACACGCAATTTAGTTAAATACACTTCAAGCTGCATGTTCCTTTTACGATTTTCAGCTATTTCCATTTCAACTTTTGATACCCCATTCTGCATATTCTCGATGTGCTTCATTAAAACTGAGTTTTGCTGCTCAATTTCAATATTGTTCTTTCTCAGAACCTTAAGTTCCGACTCAATGACTTTATTGTGTTCTAAGAATGTATCTGTAAATATTGGAACCTCACAGTTCTGTCCAATTAGAACTTTCAGTATATCCTCATCAATCTTCATGCTATTTTGACTTATCGATGGTCGAGCAGGAACGTGTAAAAAGCTACTGGAACTAGGCATGTTAAAGGATGTTGATGGTATTGGAATCGGCGCAGCTGACGTTGATGGCTTGGCTGGTTCTGGATTCTCAGGATTAACATGATTATTAGTTGACTCTTCCTTGCTTTTAACATCATTAACTTCCTTTTTGTTGCTGACTTTTCGCTTTTTTGCCGGTTGCTTCTCTTCTGTGACTTCATCTGGATTTAATGTCTTGTATGCTTTTAGTTCCAATTCAAATCGATCTTTATCAATCTTAGCATGATCTAGGTATGGCTGTTTATCTTCCTTAGGTAATGTGTACCATTTACTAGCAACTAGCTTTGTTATTTCAACAGAATCCAGTGCTGGATTCTCTTCACATACTTTTGGACGTACTTCATCGCAATATCGAACATACGCATTTCTATAAAACTTTGGATATTCAGCACTTCTCTTAATTTTCTTGGATTTCTTTCTCTTCTTCTTTACTGGAAGTGCTACTGGCGATGGAGTTACACTTTTATCCTCAATTGTATCATTTGTTATGTCAATCTTCGATTCTGTTTGATTACTCATTGATAAATCCATTCCTTGGGTCTGTTGTTCCTCTAAACTCTCATTTACTGCTTCCGTACTCATCTTATTCCTTAGTTATTTAACTTTTCAATTTTTTGGAAATATTTTTTAGCATTTAAACTTTTAACCCCCTATATCTATTTTTGAATTTCAAAAAACCAGTAAAGCAGTATGAGGTAATCTTGAAAATTTAAGATTAATTATGTTAAGTCAGGTAATATTATCTATGAATTGGTAGATATAATCATGTTAATACAGTTAAAAACTGTAGAAAAATGCAAAAAACGATTCAAAAAATAACGGATTTAAAAAATTCAAAAAATGTTTGGCTCGTTATAGCACAAAAGAACTAACCCCGTCAATTTAAACAGATGAATTTAATGCGTAAATCCTTCAGTATTTATTATGATAACAGTATAATTGTGAGTTAAATTACTTATATTATCGACAATTATAGACAGATAAAATGAAAAAGGATGTTAAAAGGAAAAATTATAAATAAGGAAGTAGAACAAAAATTGCAAAATTTACTGACAGACAAACAATGTGAATTATGAAAAAGATAACTCGAAAAACTTGAGAGCAAAAAAAAATAAATTTAAAGAAAAGTGAAAAATTAATTAATCTGCTTAAGGAAAATGAATTCAGAAGAGACAATAGTTATGGTAAGGATAAAAGGCACTAGATTTACATTTAATAACAGTAGATTTGTAAATATATAACATGAATTTTCATGATATTTTGAGTTGCGTACATTTTTCAAAAAAAATTTGCAATTTTCTTAATTTTCACAGAACGGAATGCAGCCTAAAGATGATGAGATGAAGTGGAATCATAAGAAACGAGCTAAAAATCCCTTCCTGCTATTTTGCGAGACAGTTCTAAATCATGAAAGAGAACTTTTATCAGAGGTAAAAATTATTTTTTTTTTCTCTTTCATTATTTTTGTTTGTGAATGGGGACGAAAAATTTTAAGCTTTGCATTAATTTTCTCCTGCCATAAATAGACACTAAATTCATCACAGGAATCACTTAGTGAAAATCAGGCTCCTGAAGGACAAAACAGTAGCTCAATTGAAAATTCGACATTTAATTCTGATTCTGACGGAGCAAATGGTGAGATTTCAAAAAATTATACAAATGGTAAGTAGTCACATCATTTAGGGAGAGCATATATATCTCTCTCTCGCGTTCCTTTATTATTTTTTTTTTCATATTGACGACTGTACATTACGCAAAAAAAATTAAGAAAAAAAATATTTTGAATGAATTTATATGAATTTTTCCACATTAACTTGATGAATCTAATGCAATTTCTCCTCCTTGTGTGTCTCTCTCTTTCTCTCTTTTTGCCTACTCTGCTCTGCTGTGCCTCCTCGTCGATAAAATGTTAAATTGAATTAGACAATGAAGGCGATGGTGATAGTTTCAATTCAGTGACATGTTTTTGTGGTAAGCCGTTTGCTGGACGTCCAATGATTGAGTGTTCAGCGTGCTTGACATGGCTTCATATGTCTTGTGTGAAAGTAAAACGCAAGAATATACCAGAATTTTATTATTGTGATAATTGTAAAAGTAATGGGCTCTTATCGCCAAACGCAATTGGATCATCGGGAGAGGAAGGAACACCTATACGTCAACAGAATGGCACTATCAGTTCAAATAATAATATAGATGGGATTTTATACAGTAGCAGCACGCACCAAAATAATAATCAAAACAACAGTAATAACACCATCATCAACAATACTATCAATAATTTAACAGCAGCCACAAAGCCCAAAAAACCGAAGATGTCGATTAAGAAATCGAGCGCAAGCTTAATGATGATGAATAGTAGTGATAATATTAAGAATAATACAAATAGTGATAGTAAATATTTATCTAAGAAATCCTCAAATGTTAACGGTAAGCTAAAGAAAATTCGTCAAACGACTAAGAAGGTACGTCCGACAGCAGCAACTGCATCAGCATCTAGCAATTTGACCAAAACGATTTCATCATCCTCGCTAGCGGCTGCTGCATCACTAACAGCCCTATCACTCAACAATCAAGTCTCGCCAAGTCAAATAAATAATAATATCATCCTTGCGACGAATGGCATTGCTACTGACAATTCAAATAATTTGTTAAAGTCTCCAATTGCCACAAACAACAATAATATCTATAATAATGGTGATGTCATAGAAACTCAAAGTGAACGAACTCCAATTATTGAGAGTAATGGTGCTGCTGCTACCACCATCGTCGAGAATTCGGAAAAATTCAACAATAAACGCTTGAAACTCCTTTAATTAAGAAGAAGAAGAAGAAGAAGAAATAATGCACTATAAATACATACACACAACATGAGGAAACAAAAGTTAATCACATCTAAGAACGCATGCAAAGAAATCTATCTTAAAGTTTTTCATACTATTTTTACAAGTTTTCTTTACACACACACACAATTCTTTTTTATTATACCTACTTTTACCTTCTATACTTCTTACTATTATTATTATTATAATTTCTGAGAGACGTCTGTAATCATCATTCAGTAAGGATCCAATAATTAACATTTATTTTTCATCTCTTTATTATTATTATGATTGTTCAACCAAAATTTAAAGTGAAAAAGTGTTGTTTTTTGGGACTTTTAACAGGAGCTTGTGAGCTTGCTCGAACAACTAGTCACAATTTTGCGTGCAATCAGGTCTCAAAACCATACAAATTCATTTCAAAATACCCTACAAATGTCAATTGTTTGACTGGAATTGTATGGTTTCACACAAAAGAATAAAATAATTAAAATTGATGATATGGACTACAGGCACAGTTAAGGTTTCATAAAGTGAATTGTGATTAGTTATCAGTAGATAAGACCAGACTCTCCTGACTATTACTATTTAAAATCGCAGATGTTATTAGATTTGATAGAAAAACTACATTTTTAAGACAGATGAATATATTCATATTGAAACAGATTATTAAATCTATTTTTAGTTTATAAGGATATAGTGCAGTAAGGGATTATGATTAATTAACTTTAACGAAATAAGCTGATAATGTTTTAAAAGAGTGCTGTATGGATTCAAAAAGTTGCAATTTCTCTTTTTTTTAAAAATGATAATTTGGTTTTGATATAAAAAATGCAGTGAGAATCCATGTCCAGCTGAATGTTTATTGAATGTAAAATATATTTCACGTTTTCATTTCTAGGAATTTAACATAGAGGATATTTTAAGAGAAAACAAGTAAATTAAAGCTTAATGATGAAAAGTAGAGTAATGGAATGAAATAAAGAAACCAGTAAAGAGGTGGTTCCCTCGTGACCGACTGAAGCGCATTTTCCCCGTACAGAATTTGAGTATACTTCCTCTTCATTAAATCCCATCCTAAATTCATATCGAGTAAAGCTTACATAACATCATACTGATAACAGCGATGGTTGATTATTCTGTTTTTCTGGCCAATGCCAGCTTGACATAGAACACACATTTTAAGCATAGAACCGAATCAAAAAAAAAAAAGCTTAAACTGGAGGAGTAGGTAGGCTGACATTTTGACTGACAAAGTGCGAACAGTAGTGTGATTTCCTGATAGGAAAATGTGCTTAAAAAAAGAGATATGACAGTGAATAATGTGAATAGATGAGTTGATTGTCGGATATTGACTAAGGGATATTGAAAAGATTTGAGAACTAGTCTTCATTTACCCTTATTAGAATTTCTTGAATAATTGATAAGAGAATTTTACAAATAGTAATGATAATTGATAGTTTCTAAACGCTTCTGTAAATAAATTAGAGGAAATGTGTTTATTAAATGATGTACACACATTTATATTGAGTCATTCGTGACTTATTTGCTCCTTTTAATTACATTACTCTTATAATTTTAATAATTTTTCTACTGTGCAACATTAGTGCATTTTTTTGCAAAGTAGTTAACTTGCTGGATTACATAAACGTCGTTCAGTGATTCCGCAATCCAATTCAACTCATTTTCTAAAATTTAAAGAAAGTTCGTTAAATTTAAACTTTAGAAAGTTGTTCAAATTTTAAAGGTTCGATGAATTTATGACACACAAATCTGAACAAGCATCAAAGATAATGCTTTAGTCATCCATTTTCGATGGCACAAGACAAACATTTAAAGCTCAGCAGTCCTTTTCTTTCTGGAAACTTCATTAATGACTAGTTTTTATTATTTTTTTGCCATATCAATTATGTTGTTATAGTTGTGTAAAATAGAAAAGAAGAATCAGTGAAATATCGCACTATCGATATTGCCATGTAAAAATCAATTTTTCGTTCATAAATTGTCTTTTGTTGAAATAAATTACATTTTAAATGATAAGGATTAAAAGTACAAGTTTAAAAAAGTGAAAAAACATTTCAATCCACATGATAATTTTACAATTAACGTCAGCAAGTGACAAAATAGGAAGGCAACAAGTGTTTTTGTTATAATTTCTTTAATGAAATGCACATATACTTTAAATTGTAAACCAACAATTATTCTATTACATTTTCATTCAAATCAATTAAACATAAGCACCACAATTTACAGTTATATTGGGAATTGAATGTCATTACAAGTGATTAATTGGAGTTGTATGAACAGATTGGGAACCGTACAACATTTGGATATGGAAAACATTTGAATGGTTCTCAAGCATTTGAATTATTCAATTGCGTTTTCAAAACCATACAAATGTTTCAGCGAGAATTTGTACGGTTTTGATAAACAATATCCAATCAAAACCATACAATTCCAGAATGAAATGAACAATTGTATAGTATTGTATAGATGTTGTACGGTTCTCAAACACAAATCTGAATAATCTCCCAAAAGCCTTCGATTTCCAATCCGAAAAACAATAGAATATTATTTGTCAGTAGTGAACTGTTCTGAAAAAAAATGAAAAAATCAAAAAAAAAGCGAAAAAATATGAAAATGAGTAAAATAATTCTGTAAATTTTAAATTAGTTGTATAAACAAGAATACAATGAATATTTTGGATAAAATATAAGAAACTTAATGATTGAAAGTAAAAATTTAATAATAAAAAACGTCTCAGTCTTTTTTAATGCTAGAAACTTGTCAGGTTTGCTTTATTTCATAAACAGGCTAAATTATAAATAAATATAAATGGCATTAAAAGAATTTCTTGAAGAAGAACACCACGCCTTTAACCCAATTAGGAATCAAGCGTTGAAGCAACTGTTTCTCAGCAGTCTCTGAATATCGGAAGAGGTGATCATATTCGGTTTTAAGGGACTTTTGAAGTTCCTTATTGACGGTTACTAAACAAATTTGAGCTTCCAAATCACGATGAACTGATCGTTCGCCATAATTTGATGATCCAATTACAGTCATACATGGCAATTTAGATCCATTAAGATGATACCACAATCCTTTTGCATGATATGTCCAGTTATCTCGTTCATATTCGAGTAATGAGAATCGACTTTCTTGTCCATTTTCTTTAATCTGTTCATAAAACTTTCGAGCTATTAATGAGTACGCATCAGGAATTCCGCCAGAAGGAAATTTTGATCCTTTAAAGCCATTAGCATTTGGATGAGCCATAATTATACTGCAATCAGCTTTACATTTCTTTACCAGAGAGTCCATATATGTCTGAGTCAAATTAAAATATCCAGAAGTCATTTTAAGTGTTGATCCTTCTTCTCCACTACATAATAGCTTATTAGATACAAGACTATCATGATGTATACCGATTTGTCCCATTTCAATCGTCGGGAATATCCATGTGTCAGCAGTCTCGTCAAAATCATGGATATTGTTCTGCTTATCATAGACAGTCTTGAAAAATTCCTTAAATCTTCTCTGAGCTTCAATTACAAATTCTTTATAGCTACTTTCATAAGGCAATAAGTTCCAACTTTCATGCATTCGAGTATCACCATTCGCATCAACTTGCATACTAAATTCTTGTACCTTTCCTATGACGTCATTAAAGAAGTTTGAGACATTAATATCCTTTATTTCTATATAACGATCCTGTCTATTTGTGAAATAGTCATTTGATAAATTAGCACCAGAAAGGATTAATACGTCATCAAAAATGTAGATTTTCATGTGCTGCAGACCAAGCAGTTCATTCCATCGAGCTGGTGCCAATTTCTTAGTAATTCCTCTAAGCATTGGAGTATGATAAAGTGACAAGTTACAGTTCCTGCTTTGTTCAACAAGTGGCATAATCATTGACTTTGAGTTCTTTTTGCCACGAGTTCCTCGTGTAAAATCTAACAGTATATTAACTTTAAGGTCATCATTTTCTGTGATATTGGTCTGAATAGCTTTCACTAAATCTGATTCCATTTTTCCAATTCCAAGATACAGACTAGCAAATGAAATTCGATATTTAGCTGCTGATGCATTACGCAATATACTATCATAGAAATCTGATGGTTCACTAATGATCCTAATGTTACTGGAGTTGACTGGAAAGCATGGTGTCATATCAAACAGAAATGAGAAATTTTCTAATGGCCAATAATTATAGCGTTTTTGAGTTTTCATATCGGTGGGTTTGAAATAATCATGATGATTAGTGGTGGATGGAAAGTCAATGAACGTAGATAATAGTCTACGTATCATGTTAATTGTAGCTAGAAATATTGCGAGGAAATAAGAGATTATTTGAGAACTAGAAAAGCAAAAGAAAATTTGATGAAATAAAATGGAACGAAATAATGTTGTAATGCTTATTATCATTTTACCAAAACTTTGTGTTCTTCTGCTTAACATGATTGATACTTTTCATTAAATCCTGTCAATTGAAACATTAATTTCACTATTTATTGCTCTTTGTTGACTTTTTGTGACTAAAAGGGGGTTGACTGTTATTTGAATTTTATATTACCGTTGGAATTGCAGATTGTCGGTAAGGAAGATTCTCATGCGTAATTAAAGTATCCAAGACTTTCTATGACTAATAAATTTATAGTAAACAGCAATATTGACTGTTAATAAATAAGGAAATTTTGCACTTTATTAATATAAGCTCAATTTACAGAACGTGTAGGTAAGCAAATAATTTTTGGAAAGGCGAATAATATAATTAATGGAAATAATGCCAGTGCCTACTTTTCAATATAAATTGTATCACCATTTTGTAAGGAATAATAATCCAATGACTTTGATAAATTATCCAAATAGACTTTGATGTTGTTATTGTAAGCATCAATATAATAGAGTTTAATAGACTTTAAATCCATACCGGGACAGGTGTGTAAAGCAGCAATTTTATAAACTAATCCAACGAGTGATCTGACTGTCATAGCTATTGGAACTTTCTTATGAAACATCTTTCCATTCATGACATTTTTAAATTGAATTTCAATCGTCGTGACACGTTTACGATTTGGCTGTAGAATAAACTGATCTGGAGTTCCATACTTTTTAAGTAGTCGTGGATAACAGCGATGATTTTTATAGAATTCACTCATTTTTGGTTCACCTTCGCCACCCACTTGCATCCATTCAACTGCAAACTTCTTCCACATCTCATACATTGCGTCATTTCTATGAACTTTCTCAATTTCACTTCTATTAAATGAATACAAGTTCTCAATCATTCCAACAGCTTCCATGAATATCTCCATAATCTCAGTTTCATTTCCATCTGTTGCTTTTTGGTTGACATATGATAAGCGCGTTAGGGCAGGTAATTTATCCAATTCATTAAACATTTGAATTTCATTCTCGAATGGATTATGACGTAGATTTAATGACTCGAGCTTCTCAAAGAGTTTTAATCTCTCAGTTATTTCACAATTAGGCAGGTCAACTCTTTTCATTTGATTATTGTTAATCATCAATTCTTTTAATGCTGGAAGGTCCTTAAGCTTTAAAACTTCCTCAAAATCACAAATACTATTCTCGCCAATACTCAATGTCTCTAGACGAGGAAATGCTTCTGCTGAATCATCCGTTAAACATTTTATATTGTTTTGTTTCAACGATAATTCCCTCAAATTTGGACACATCTTCGCAATTCCTAAAATCTCATTCCAATCGAATAAATTGCAGGAATTAAGAATTAAGGTATCAATTTTCTCAAATCTCAGTTGTTCATTCTCATTCGGTAATTCGAGACGGTTAAGACTTAAATCAATGTTCCGCAATGATGGAATTTGCTTCACAATGTCATTTACGACATTCCAATGCGAAATGCATGACGATTGGAGACAAAGAGTTCTCAAGCTATCCAATTCAGGTATCTTTCCAGCTTGATTAATTGTAGAGTGACAAATTGTTATGTCTTCCGTGAATTTTAGCTTACTTTGCCGTTCCCTCAGTTTTTCCATTCCAACGACCTTGAAGATAAATGCTTAGTCTTAATGTATGGAATTAATTATTTCTTTTATACCTTCATAAATGGCGCAGATAATGCATCTCGAGCTTCATTTAGTAGCTCATCATTAATAAATGACTGCTGTTCTGGTGGCAAGTAACGCTCACGAATTGCATCTTCCAATGTCTCAAACTTATGGATCTTTTCTGATCTTATTAATGATCCACTTTTAGGAAATCTGTAATATTAAGAATGTCATTATTGCTTAATATGTGAGTTCCAGTAAAGAGTAACAGATGTTCATTAATTTACTTCGTTTCAAAATAATAATGACCATTGACAGTTCCGTTATGTCTTCCTCTCGAAGCATCATCCCATTCAACACCAATCCACTGCCCGTCATGTCCAACAACCTATTAATTATGTTAAAATCGATAAATTTTTTCAAATCGAAAATTCGAAGAAAAAGAAAGTTTTTATGACTCACATTTCCAATGTATTTAATACAGCCGAAATCCTGTCCAACGCGAATTCTTGCATTCACACAAATATTATGGTCTGTTAAGCCAACCATTTTTGCTACTTATGATGTTTCTTTGCTCATAAAAACTACTATAATTAATGAATTTTCTGCTGCACTCGAAATCTATTTTGTTTACACTCAGAGAAATTTTTTAAGACTAATTTTGCATCATTGACGTGGGACTAATTCATGAATCTTTATTAGTTTTCAGGACCTACTTGTTTAATTCTAAGATATTTTAATAGAGACTTGTAGAACTAGTCTTGTAATGACTTTCTTATTATTCACGCAAGCTAGTTCTTTACATAACTGATGAAACAGCCAAAAAAATAGTTTTGTGCAATTTTCCCACGGAGTTTGTAAAGGCAACTTTACAAAATTCAAAAAGTTCGTTACTCAATCTTGACAACGTGATCGATTGCATAGAAACAAAAAAATCAGTAAAAATCAGTAATAATGAACACATGTGCAAATAAACATTGGATATAAAGTTTCAAAATGTTGTATAGATTATCTAGGAGACAAATTCAGACATTTGACAATAAAAAGGAACTCTATGAATTCATGAATTTCAAGTTTAACGAATAATTGCGCATAAAAACGGACATTTTCACATTATTATACCTGATTACAATAAATTACAATGTTATTTTAAAGTAGTTTTCAATTGTCATAAATAAATATATGAGCATAAAAAGATGTCAAAGGTACGACATTCGTTTTTAAATTAATTTTATTGCATGTACATAATTTGATTTCGGGTCATAAAAAAACTTGTTCATAAATGTTTTATTATTGGCACAATTTATACAAGACAGACCCCTTTAAGGATATATGCAAATTAAATTTCAATTTTTTAAAGCTTACCCTTTATACTGACCTCTTCAAAATGAAGTAAAAAAGAAATTGTTTATTGGTGTCTTATTGAAGAAGTCGGTTAATATGAACTTTAACCTTTTTTTACTGTCCGAATCCTTATAAGGAAGAATCAAGAATGATTTAATGAGTTTTGTTCTACACGATAAATAATAAAAAAAATTATGATATGTCCTGGAAATAAAATGAGTTGTTAAAAGTGAATTAAATTTTTCCCTCAAATTTTATTTCAGGAACTTTAAAGCCACCACCTTTCCTCAATTGCATCCGTAAAAATCTCACGAGAAAAGTAATCTCTAATGATGAAATTAAATGCATTAAACCCATGAAAATTGATTGAACATAAATTTATTTATTAGATTGAAAAGAAGAGCATAGGAATGTTACAGTGACACATATATACCAAAAAGTCTTAAGAAGGGGGAATCAATTCAGTTCTGTGTTAAAAATCCAATTTATTTATTTTATGCAATGAAGAAGAAATAATTCTTGACAAAATTTATAAGTCTCATTAAATTTTATGCATTTCTAATGATGTCAATTATTTATGTTTGATGATTTTTAATGAGATAAATTGATTTTCATATGGGTTCGACTGTATAGATCAATAACGGATATTTCTGATTTAAAAGTTTCATTTAACGAACTTTTTTTGAACTTTTACAACTGTTCATCAACATATTTTGAAATTTCCACAACCGTTAAACTTTTAATTCAGCTTTTCACCAATTTTAATAAGAGTTTCAATTGAAGAAATGACAATTTAAGCAAAGCTCAATGATTTCTGAAGTTCTTTCATTAACTGTCCTAAAATTTTTGTGAAAAATAGCAAAATTGAACCATTTAAAAAAAAAACAAACCGCTGAATGTTGCTGAATTGAAGAAAATTCAAATTTTATTCGTTAAATGTTCATCCAAAAATTCAATACCCACAAAAATAAAAAGTTTAAGGCACTTAAAAAGTACCCAGAAGTGCTCTTAAATAACCTCCTTCCGACTACTGTAAGAAAGATTGTAAAAATCTGCACGTATAATAAAAAAAAAGCATTTTCTCGCAGGATAATTTTAAAACTTCATGAACACACATGTGCGTCGAATGACCGTAAGAAAAAAAAAAATCGATGAAATGGAGAGTGAAGAATTTTTGCTTTTTCCTTGCTTCATACGTTTATGTTAAATTCATCTCTATATGCAAACGATATGTGATCTCTTTCTCTCTCTCTTATCATAAGCATTATGGAAAATCTCCCTTCTTTATTTTTGTTATTATTCTTATGAAACATGGACAATGTCTGTAGATGGATGTTTTTACATTATAAAAAATACATGTGAGGAACTCATCCATAAATTTTCGTAAGGCTTCCGTTTTTCATATTTTTTTATGATTTTAGAAATTTTTTAGAATGAAAAATCTCCTCGAGTGCTGGCCATCCACTGGATATAATACATTAATCGATAATTATGACCTAATCTTAATTTCGGTGAAAAGCTTAATTTAATTTTGTAACCACTGACCGTAACATCCTTTTTAAATAAAGTACCATACCTCATGTATTTTTAAATACACAACACAAAGCACATACATTGAGCTTTAGTATATAATTTTTTATTCTGTTTCATTTGATCATTGGGCTCATTCTTTTGTGATGTTCAGGTGTGTTAGGGTTATTTTTGGATGTCAAATTTATCAACTACTTCTTTATTAAATATAAACAATCCAAAATTGATTAAAATTTTGGCAAAAAAATCACCTTATTTTAAAAAAATAAGCATTTAACTATTGTTGATTGTTCCTTGCCAAGTTTTTATGTTCATTGTCTTATATAGATTGTTAATTTGAATATTATTGAGTCTTAAAATTTGATTTTGAAATTTCAAGTGAGAGCTCTTTTTGGCGGGAAATTTGTGACATAAATTTGTTAAAGATTTCAAAAACTTACCAGTAATTTTGAACATCAAGATTAAAAGTTCCCATTGATACATTTCGTATTTAGATGGGTTTTTTTAACATGAAAAATTGCGTACAGAATTTAACATCTACGAAGAAATATATATGTGTGATATAAATATGCGTATAAAGCATATGAAAATTTCTTTCGACGGATGAAAAATATGTTTTTCTTGTTTGCTTCTTAACGACAAATAAGAGCAGGGAGGGAGTTGGCGCAAATGGAATTGTTAGTTTTTTTTTTCTCTTCACTTCAAATTGAAATCTTTCGTAAATTGAAAAGGGCAAGAAACATTTCATTTTTTTCCCTTTCTTGATTTGTTTAAAGCTGAACGGGACATGGGAAAATTTCACACGATTTAAAGTATTTTTACTTCTCTTTTTGTTTTTAGAAGAAATATAAAAGGGAATTTGTCTTAGATTGGCAGTCACGTGAGGTTTAATCGGAGAAATGTCACATTTTGAAGTGCTTCACATTTCGAGTGTTATTTTTATTTCTTATTGTTTTAAGATTGGGAATACTTAAAGGTGGTTGACTTTTTAACGGAAATTTCAGATTTGAAAATTATTTTAACGTTTTTTATGCAAAATTCAATTTTCTATCTAATCAGGATCTGCAGGATGAATATTCTTCTTCACAAGCATGTTTCAATCAAGTCAAAATAAAAAGAAAATCAAAAGAATGAAAAACAGCGAAGAAAAAAAAATTCATTTCTTTTTTTTGGAATTTCATTTTGTAATCAGAATCTGAACAAACAAGCTAAACACATTGAGTTGACTGATGAAAGAAGAAGAAGGTTCAGCATCAAAGGCACAAGAGTATATCAGACAACACTCTAATCCTTTCCCCAATTTTTTTCAAATAATCATCATTTCATTAAATTTTCTTTTTTTATACGATGTCGATTTTTTTCTCTCATGGCAAAGAAAAAAAATACTGGCCATGCCTTTCCTCCTCATACCACCAAGATTCTTTTTTTGTTGGATTCTTTTCCTCTTTTCCTCATCCTCGAAGCACCCGGGCATTTGATGAAAAACGAAGGCATCGGGGTAAAATTATGTACATTACAACGTGATTTGAATTTGTGAAACAAATAACGGTGTTTGGGAGGCTACTGAGGATGTAAAAGAAATAAAATTGCTGCTGCTTTCACCACCCTTACTAAAGGCTAAAAAAACACACATGTGAGTTGTTCATGAATATTTCTCCTCTTCTTTTTTTATTTTATTTTATACTTTTTTTAGCAATATAATGATTTTCTTCCTCTTATTTCCATGGGGTCATCATCATCATTGCAATCATCATCTGTAATGTCATTTTTATTGATTTTACATAAAGAATTATCAAAATATTCAAACATAAATTGGATTTCAATATAAATAAGGGTTTAGTTTGGACAATTTGTAATTCATTGATGTTGAATTCGAGTTCTGAAGATATATGCAATTTAAAGATAAAGTAGGTTGTAAATGATTTGAAATTCTAAGACAATTTTAAGTGGATTACTCCTTTAAAAATATAAACAAGCCAAAATTGATTCAAAATTTTGCAAAATTGTTGATTTACAAAACAAAAGCATGAATTTAAACATTTTTGTCACTTTTTTGCCACCTTTTTCTTTCAGAAAGTACTGGAAGGTTGTTAATTCCATTCAAATTGAGCTTAAAAATTCAATTTTAAAATCTTATGTGACAATAAAAAAATGGCGGAAAAATATCATTTTAAATTTTTTCAAACAAAAACTCTGTAAACTTCAAATAATAAGATTTTGAGCCTATAAAATAAAAATGATCAGACCAAGTAAGACGTTTCGTTTAAATTTAGCACTGACTGAACAAAAATGAAATTTTAATGATGTGGATTTTCATTTCTGTTAACTCTATTTTATCTTATTTTTCTCTCCCTAAAAGAATGGATATTCCTATCACCTGCCATATAATATTGCAGAATATATTGGCACAAAATGGAAAATCTATTTGCACTTATTTGAAACTAATGTAAAAAATAGAAGGAAGCACCATCAGGTTATGAATAAAACATTAGAATTCTAAATGCCTTGGTCTTACTCCGCTTCTTTTTTTCGATATCTCGAATTTTCAAATAAATTGTTATCCGGTTTGTGTGTGAGGTGCGTGCGATAAGATATAACAACTGCTTGTTGTTGAGCCTGAAATTTAGTGGTCAAGAGAATCTGATAAAAAAGTGTGGATGAAAACGAGAAAGGAAAACTGAATTTGAAATCAGGCATTTGGTTTCTTAAAGATTCAATTTCCATTTAAAACTCATCACTTTAAGGCACTCAAAACGATGTGCTGTTTGATGTTTAA